TGAGCCACCTTCCCAGCCCCGACCCTATTCTTAATGAGCGAGAATTTTGTTCTGTTTCTAATTTCACATTTTATATTCTTTTGGGGAGGGAATCATCACATCTACAGCTCAACCGTTTGTATAGTGGTGCTTGCAGTTGAATACCTACTCTCTTATACTAATCAAGTGCTTTATCATTGGCTGGCACTCCACTTCCAGGCTTCTGGTGGTTATTTGGAGTCTCACGGATGTCCCTGCCCCGGCTGTTTTTGAACCGCCATCCTCGGAGCTCAGCCTCCAGAGTAGCCGGGATTTCAGGCATGGGCCACCAGTGCCCAGCGGCGGTTATCATTTTTATGTATAACAACGTTCCAGACGCCCTGCGCCATGCTTGCTTTCTCGCGGGTGGAATCCTGCTCAGTCTACTTCACAAATCCTCATTTCCTTGTAAAATTTGGCCGGAAGCAGCTTTCTTACCGTTGGCGGGACACACAGTATTCCTTGTATGGAATGTATAAGAATCCAAGATGGCGGCCCCCAGGAGGAAGATCTGTGGCGGCCGCCATGTCAACCACAATGGAAACTGGAACCTTCGCAAAGGCTCGGCGGCGTTGCCACAGCAGCCGCGAGCGTGCGCAGTACAAACAAGCTCCACCCTCTCCGAGGGGACGTTTCAGAAGTCGCACCGGAAGTGACCTTCCCGAGCGGTTTGCAGCTACCCTTTGCCTCACGTCTGCGTTTTAATGCTGAGAATTCTTGGATGACTGCGGCTGGTCGCGATTAGAGCTTCTGCTGCGTCCGTACTGTGTGGGGATATAGAACGAGCGCCGGACTTGAGGTTCGGCGATGGGCGGCGGCCGCGGCGGCCGTCGATGGTTGTCATTGACGAGGTTCTCTTCTGGCTCCAGGATCTTGGAGATGAGACGCTGATTTGGGGGTCAGTATGGGGTGTGTGTCTGTGATCTGTTCGTTTTCTAACCTTACTTGAAAGTTCAGTAGTTTTTAGCCGCCTGTAGCGTTAACGATTCTCTACCTTGGGTGTGTAGTATTTTCTTTGTTGCTGAAATGTGACTTTCATTTTTAAAAGTTTTTTTTTCTTTGAGTCAAGAGTTATTTCGAAGTGCTTTTTCTGTTTCAAATATGTCTGGATAAAATTTTGAGTTAAAAAGCTTTATGGCTTATGTCCTGGTCGCTTCCGTCACGTCTGTTACATAGAAAGTGTGTCCTATAACGAAACCAATTGTATTGCTCTCTACACACACACACACACACACACACACATCTCCTTAGTATTTTGTTTAATTACAAGATTACATTAGATAAACTCATTGGAGAGATGTCTTTCTATCTTTTACTTTTTAAAAAAAATTTTGGCAGTCGTGGGCTTGAGGCCAGAGATGTCCCTGAGCTTTTTTGGCTTTGAAATGCGATCCTCGGATCTCAGCCTCCCGAGTAGCTAGGATTATATATGTGTGAGCCACCAGTGCCCAGCAGCTCCATCTGTCCTTTCTTCTGCTTTCTGTCTTATATATTTGAAAGTATGTTTGGAACACCTGTGTATTTTATTTTTATTTTGTCAGTCATGGGGCTTGAACTCCAGGGGCCTGTGCATTGCCCCTGAGCTCTTTGATCAAGGCTAGTGCTTTACCACTTTGAGCCACAGCGCCACTTCTGATTTTCTGGTGGTTAATTGGAGATAAAAGTCTCACACTTTCCTACCCAGGTTGTTTGAACTGTGATTCTCAGATCTTAGCCTCCTGAGTAGCTAGGATTCCAGTCATCCAGCCACAATATTTTTTTTTTTTTTGGGTCCGGTCATGGGGCCTGAACTCTGGGCCTGGGTGCTATCCCTCAGCTCTTCAGCTGGAGGCTAGCGCTCTACCACTTGAGCCACAGTGCCACTTCCGGCTTTTTTCTTCTTTTTGCTTATGTGGTACTGAGGAATTGAACCCAGGGCCTCAGGCATGCAAGGCAAGCACTCTACCACTGAGCCAACTTCCCAGCTCCAGCCACAATATTTTTAAAAATAATATATATGATTAAATAGCTCAGAGGATATGATAGCAAATCAAGCTTTTATCATTAAAAAAAAAACCCACACAATTTTCCCAAATGCCTTCCAGCATTTAGATAGTATTGCTTTTTAAAGTTTTTAATTCTGGGGGAAAATTACATTTACTTGCTATAAAGGTATAATTGTCATTTAAGTTTGCTTGTTTTATGCATCAATCTCTCCTCTCTTTGTTGGTATGTATACACAACACTGGGGTTTTTGTTTGTTTTTTAATTGTGTCAATCCTGCAGCTTCAGCTTAGAGCCTTGGTGCTGTCCTTGAGTTCTTTTGTTCAGAGGTAGCACTTTACCACTTGAGCAACAGTTCCACTTCCAATCTCTTGGTGGTTAAATAGAGATGAATCTCATGGACTTGCCTAGGCTGACTTGGACTGAGTCCTCAAATCTCAGCCTCCTAGTAGCTAGGATTATGGTGTGAGCCACTGATGCCCAGCAAAAGAATGTATTTTTTTTTTGGGGGGGTCCAGTCATGGGGCCTGAACTCTGGGTCTGGGCGCTGTCCCTCAGCTCTTCAGCTCAAGGTTAGCACTCTACCACTTGAGCCACAGCGCCACTTCTGGCTTTTTTTGCTTATGTGGTGCTGAGGAATCGAACCCAGGGTCTCATGCATGCAAGGCAAGCACTCTACCACTGAGCCACCTTCCTAGCCCCCAAAAGAATGTATTTTTAAATGTTTGTAATTCCTCTGGAATTTTCCTCCTAGAATTTGTCTACTGAATACTATGTGGTGGTGGATCCAGTATCATCACCCTTTGGGCAATACATGCCTTGTACATACTTGGACTTATTTACACAGTGTCATAGCTATGGCTCAATATTGTCTCATATGTTTATTGTTTTACTTGTTTTAGTATTTGATAATGGATGGTAATTGCTAATGGTAAGTTGCATGCTTTTGTGTGCCAAGGAGGTGATGGCTACTTTATAAGCATGTCATTTAATTTTCATATCTGATAGACGGCATTTTCAGCAGGGCATGGTGGAACACATCTGTAGTCCCAAAAGTGAGAGGTAGTCAGGAGAATTACAAGTTTGTGACCAGTTTAGGCTACATAGTAAGATCCTGTCCTACAAAACAAAGCCCACAAGAAAGAAAAAGACATTTCATCCTCATGTTTTGAAACTAAAACTAAGGTAATTTTATATTTTTATAGTTTTAAATCAGAAGAAACATAATGCAAATATGCCATAATGTTACTTCAGGTCTCATGCTTTCCCTCATATTTCACCATCATTTCTGCCTGTCACAATATTTAATCTCCAAAGCACTGCTGCTTTAGTGTAGTCCCAGAAGTAACATTTTCAGCATAATTTGGATACTAGTTTGAAGTGAAAATTCTTGAGCCCTACCTAAGGCAGCCTAAGTCAGAAATTGTGAGGGTGAAGTTGAGAATATTTAAACTGTGTGAACATGCCCTCGAGATGATTTGACTGTATACAAGATATTTGTTTGTTTTTGTTGGTCATGGGCTTGAACTCTGGGCCTACACGCTGTCCCAGTTCAAGGTGAGTGCTCTACCATTTGAACCATAGCGCCACTTCTGGTTTTCTGGTGGTTAGAGATGAGTCTCACGGATTTTCCTGCCTGGGTTGGCTTTGAACCATGATTTTCAGATCTCAGCCTCCTGAGTAGCTAGGATTACAGGTGTAAGCCACCCGTAAGCAGCAAATGTGTTCAAATTTGAGACACATTGCTTTGCAGTTTGTAGCTCAGGGACCATACCCACATACCCAGGAGTGTGTAAGTGGTGGATATTGAGTGATGACTGTAAGGCTTGTTCTTTCCAGGTTTCTTGGTATCTCTGGGAGTCTTCTGAACCATATGTCCTGCCAGAATCCAGGCCAACCTAAATTCATGGAGGACCACTAAGCTTTAATCGACTTAAGAGAAAAAGGGCTGAAAACCCTGTGACTATGCCAAGTAATAAAACTTCATTCCAGAAATCTACAATCCTTGTTCCAGAGGATTATGGGAGCTCATGTGAGGTAAGGAGGAGAAATCTTGGGCTTAGTGATTCCTCCCAGATAGGGTATCTTTAATCTGTTAGGGGAGCACAGGAAGCAGCCATATTCTTTAGCCTGCTCCTTTGGGTACCAAATTATAGATAAAAGGTAGCATCTAAAAGTATTCTTGGCTGAGATCGTGGCTTAGTGGTAGAGTGCTTTTCTAGCATGCATGAAGCCCTGAGTTCGATTTCTTAGTACCACATATACAGAAAAAGCTGGAAGTGGCGCGGTGGCTCAAGTGGTACAGTGCTAGTCTTCAGCAAAAAAGAAGCTCAGGGAGAGAGCCCAGATCTAGAGTTCAAGGTCAGGACAGAAAAAACAAAAAAAAAAACAAAGGTATTTACTTACTTTATGAATAGATGCAAATAAGCTGATATGGTGGCATTCTCATAGGGTCCCAGAACTTCAGAGGCTGGGCTGTGTAGTGAGATCCTACCTAAAAAAAAAAAAAAAAAGGGAAGAGAGTAGATCAAAACATCCTAACCAGGTGATGATGGCTTATGCTTATAATCTTAGGATCTAAGGATTACAGTTGGAAGTCAGCCTGAACAGAAAAGTCCAAGAGAGTCTTATCTCCAGTTAATCAGCAAAAAGCCAGAGTTGGAGGTGTGGTGCAAGTGCTAGCCTTGAGTAAACAACAAAAAACACAAGATCCTAAGTTCACTCTCTCTCTCTCTCTCTCTCTCTCTCCCTCCCCCTTGATACTTTGTCCAGGAAAATATATATCAGAGCTAGGTCTCTGTGACTCAAGCCTATGAGGATTGTGGTTTGAAGCCAGCCTTGGCAGGAAAGTCTGTAAAGACTCTAATCTCCAATAAACTACTCATAAAGCCTGAAGTGGCACTGTGGCTCAAATGGTAGATCATTAGCCTTGAGCAAAAAGAAGTTTAGGGACAATGCTTAGGCCCTTAGTTCAAGCCCCAGAACCGGCAAAAAAAAACAACAACAACAAAAAAAGGACCAGCAAAAACAAAACACACACACATTTTTTGCCCAGTCCTGGGACTTGAACTCAGGGCCTGGGCACTGTCCCTGAGCTGCTTTTTGCTCAAGGCTAGCACTCTACTACTTGAGCCACAGTGCCATTTCCAGCCTTTTCTGTTTATATGGTACTGAGGAATCAAACCCAGGGCTTCAAGCATGCTAGGCAAGCACTCTACCACTAAGCCCCAAGACATACTATTTTTAAGGAAACAATGTATTGAGAGTTTTAACCTGGCCTGGTGATGCACACCTCTATTAGCTATGTAGAAGCAGAGAGGAGGATCACAATTTGAGGCCAGCCTAGGCAAGTCAGAAAGGCTGTATGTCACAAATAAGCTTGTGTGGTGGCCCACATACGTATTCCTAGCTACTCAGGAGGCAGTTAGAAGAATCATGGTTGGAGTTCTTCCAGACTTTAGAAAGCTCAAGACCAGGCTCATGCCTGTAATCCTAGCTACTCAAGAGGTTGAGATCTGAGGATCTCGGTTCAAAGCCAGATCAGGTAGGAAAGACCAAGAGACTCTTATCTTCAATTAACCACCAGAAAACTGGACGTAACTGTGGCTTAAGTGGTAGAGTGCTTGCTTTGAGCTGAAGAGCTCAGGGACAGTGCTCAGGTCCAGAGTTCAAGATTTACAACCAACCAAAAAAAAACAACAACAAAACCCAAAAAAATTTCTACTAAATGAGATAGGGCATGAAGTAGTCTGCTTGCTTAGCAAATAGGAAGACCTTTTTGTAATCCTCAATACTAAGAGAAGGAAAAAGGAGAAAAATACACAAAATAAAAATCATTTATCTCATGGGCTGGAAGGTAGCTCAGTGGTAGAGCGCTTGCCTTGCATGCATGAGGCCCTGGGTTCAATTCCTCAGCACCACATAAGCAAAAAGAAAAAAGCCGGAAGTGGTGCTGTGCCTTAAGTGGTAGAGTGCTAGCCGTGAGCTAAAGAGCTGAGGGACAGCGCCCAGGCCCAGAGTTCAGGCCCCATGACCGGACCCCCCCAAAAAAATCATTTATCTCATGCAGAATAATTTCCTTTTAGAGACTGCACCTTGCTGTGTCACCTAGACTGTCATCAAGCCCCAGGCTGGAGGCAAGCAATCTTTCTACCTTAGTCACCCTAGTAGATGGAATATAGACCTGTGTCATCACAGGTGGCTCATGTAAATAAGTTTAGAATTGCAGGATAGATGTCTAGACACAATAGTGGCCTGCCCACTGCTGCCCACATGGATGCTGCACTATACCATCTTCGTTTTTTTTGGTCGGTCGTGGTGCTTGAACTCTGGGCCTGGGTGCTGTCCCTCAACTCTTCAGAAGCTCAAGGCTATCACTCTACCACTTGAACCACAGCATCACTTCTGGCTTTTTCTGCTTATGTGGTGCTGAGGAATTGAACCCAGGGCCTCATGCATGCAAGGCAAACACTCTACCATTGAGCCACCTTCCCAGCCCCTACACCATCTTGTTGAGTATATCATACCACAGTGGTGAGGAGGGGTACCTTTTCATCTTAAGAACCTTTTTGGCACTTAACTACCATCTCTGCCTGGTGGCCCCAGAACCAACATACACACACAAAGTAATATGGTCAGGGTCCTTGCTTGGGGAGAGCAGAGGTGTGTGGACTCTAGGTGACTCTGTTAGCTGAGCTTCTCAGCTTCCCACCATAGGACTGCAGTCTCCCCTGCATTAAGGACAGGTATGCAATATGATGATGGTTGCTAAAGTCTTCTCAATTATCTTCTCTCGAGGGACAAATCTCTCCTAGTTTTGAGCTGCTCACAGTGAGGCTTCGCTTTCTCTGTTGTCTACAAGTTGTTTGTCGTTTTGACTGTTTTTGCTGGTGGGTATTAGTTTCTTTTCAGCCATCTTGCTAACATTATGCTCCAGGGGTGAACCTTTTTTTTTTTTTTTTGCCATCCTGCGGCTTGAACTCAGGGTCTGGACACTGTCCCTGAGCTTCTTTTGCTCATGGCTAGCGCTCTACCACTTGAGCCATAGTGCTACTTCCAGCTTTTTCTGTTTATGTGGTACTGAGAAATGGAATTCAGGACTTCATACATGCTAGCAAGCACTCTCCCTCTAAGCCACATTCCCAGTCCTGGGGTGAGCTTTATTTATTTTTTTGGCCAGTCCTGCCTGGGCCTTGAACTCTGGGCCCCGGCACTATCCTTGAGCTTCTTTTGCTCAAGGTTAGCACTCTACCACTTGAGCCAAGGCTCCACTTCTGGCTTTTTCTGTTGATGTGGAACTGAGGAATCAAACCCTGGTCATCGTACATGGTAGGCGAGCACTCTACCACTAAGCCATGTTCCCAGCAGGGTAAGCTTTCTAAAAGAAGAGTTGGGCCAGCCATCAGTGGCTCACACCTATCTCCTAGCTACTCAGAAGGCTGAGATCTGAGGTTTGAGGTTCAAAGCCAGCCTGGGCAGGAAAGTCCAGTTAATCACCAAAAAGCCAGAACTGGCCCAGAAAATAAAAATAAAAACAAAAGAAGAGTTAAATCAAAGACAATAATAAAACCAGTTTTCTGTATTCCTTACTGTTGGTTTTTTTTTTTTTTGGGGGGGGGTCTGGGCGTGGGGCCTGAACTCTGGGCCTGGGCGCTGTCCCTCAGCTCTTCAGCTCAAGGCTAGCGCTCTACCTCTTGAGCGCCACTTCCAGCTTTTTCATTTTGATTATGTGGTGCTGAGGAGTCGAACCCAGGGCCTCAGGCTTGCAAGGCAAGTGCTCTACCACTGAGCCACCTTCCCAGCCCCTACTGTTGTTTTTTCTATCCTCCCAAAGCTATGTTAAATAGTAATTTGCCCTTCCAGGGATCTGTGTCCTTAAGGGATGTGACTATAGATTTCAGCAGAGAGGAATGGCAGCACCTAGAGCCTGCTCAGAGGAACCTCTACCGGGATGTGATGCAGGAGACTTACAGCCACTTGCTTTCCGTGGGTAAGCACTGCTTTGCTGGTATCTGAAAGGAGGCCTCCATGTGTTTCCATTTTCAATTGATTGAGTGCATGAGACATCTTAAACTTGTAATGGTTTTGTCCTTGATTCTTTTTTTTTTGGCCATTCATGGGGCTTGAACTAAGGCCTGGGCACTGTCCCTGAGCTGCTTTTGCTCAAGGCTAGCACTCTACCACTTGAGCTACAGAGCCACTGCTAGCTTTTTTGGTTTATGTGGTACTGAGGAGTTGAACCCAGGGCTTCATGCATGCTAGGCAAGCACTCTACCACTGAGCTATATTCCCAGCCCCAGTCGGTTGTTGATTGTCCAGGATTCTTTATCTCCTTGGGGCACTCTTAATGTCACTTGGTTCTTAGAGAGATATGTTACTTTTTTTTAAAAAATTAAGCACCAAAACATTATTGATTGGGATCTGCAACATGATTAGCTGGACCTAGTCCTTTATCATTTCCTGTGAACAGGGTACCAAGTTCCTGAGCCAGAGGTTTTCATGGTGGACCAAAGAAAGGAGCCATGGGCATTGCAGGGTGAAAGCCCACATCAGAATTGCCCAGGTGAGTGAACTGCAGGTAGATGAAAGATAAGGAAGCAAAATGAGAAGATATCTCAGCTATCTTGAGAAAACTTGGTACCTTTGAAGTGATGTTAAAATGTCTGTTCTGGCTGGGCACTGATGACTTGTGCCTGGGGATCATGGTTTAAGACCAGTCCAGCCTGGAAAGTCAGTGAGACTTTTATCTCCAATAAACTACTCAGAAAAAGGGGGATGTGAAGCTGTGGCTCATTTGGAAAAGCACTAACCATGAGCACAAAAAGACTTAGGAACACGGCCCAGGCCCTGAGAATCCAAGCCTCATGACTGGCAAAAAACCCAAATACCTCTTCTTGCTGGACACTGGTAGCTCATCCCTGTAATTCTACTAAGGAGGCTGAGATCTGAGAATCACAGTTCAAAGCCAGGCAGGACAGGAAAGTTTGTGAGACTCATCTCCAAGTAACCACCAGAAAACTGGAAGTGGCACTGTAGTTCAAAATGATAGTGCACTAACCTTCAAGAACCACAACTGATCAAAATAAATAAATAAAGCCTCTCCTAAAATGGCCTATTTTGTTTTTCCTTTGGGGCTTTTGATAATGGGTTCTCAGATATAGAAATGTCTTTTAGGAAGTGGAGCTCTGGCTCAAAGAAATGTCTTCTATTTGGAAGACCTTGTCCTTTCTGTCTTCTTCCTTGGCGTTTTGGATTCTAGAAGGATTCTAGAACTTATGTCATTCTGCCTCATGAAAGAACATCCTGTTGTAGTCTACTCTTTTTTTTTTTTTTGCCAGTCCTGGGCTTGAACTTAGGGCCTGGGCACTGTTCCTGAGCTTCTTTTGCTCAAGGCTAGCACTCTACCATTTAAGCCACTGTACCACTTCTGGCTTTTTCTGTGTATGTGGTACTGAGGAATCGAACCCAGGGTTTCATGCATACTAGGCAAGCACTCTACCACTAAGCCATATTCTCAGCCCAAGTGATGTTTTCTTGCGTTTCATTCTAGAATTGCAGCAGAGTGGTGACCAGACAGACAGCTGCCAGCAAATGGAAAATAAAACATTAAGAGACATTGTTTTAATCAAGAACATACCATCTACAAAGTGTTATTATGAAGATAAAGATATTAGAAAAGTAATTCCACTTAGCCCAAATGGTGGTATTCCTCCTCCCCAAAGACCCCACCAGCAAGACTCATTTGGGAATGACCTGAAACATAATCTAGACTGTCAAAGTTATAATAGAAATAATGCATCAAAGAGCACTAAAAAGATGGATGGACATGGTAAAATATCTTCCTTTACTATGTATGAGTGTCCTATAACAAGAGAAAGACTATGGGACCATAATCAATGTGGGAAAGTCCTCAGTTATAAAGTACCTGTTCAATATCAGAAAATTCATACGGTGGAGAAATCCTTTGATTATGCCGAATTTGGAAAGATCTTCACCCACAAGTCACAGCTCAATGTACATATAAAAGCCCATATAGGAGAAAAACTCTATGTGTGTATTGAATGTGGGAAGGCGTTTGTCCAAAAGCTAGAATTCATTGCACATCAAAAGAACCATACTAGAGAGAAGCCCTATAAATGCAATGATTGTGGCAAGTCTTTTTTCCAAGTATCTTCTCTTTTCAGACATCAGAGGATTCACACTGGAGAAAAACTCTATGAATGCAGGGAGTGTGGGAAAGGCTTCTCTTATCACTCCGATCTTAGTATACATCAGAAAATTCATACTGGAGAGAGACACCATGTATGCAGCGACTGTGGCAAGGCATTCACACAAAAGTCCACACTCAAGATGCACCAGAAGATCCACACGGGTGAGAGATCCTACATATGTATTGAATGTGGACAGGCCTTCATCCAGAAGACACACTTGGTTGCACACCGGAGAATTCACACCGGAGAAAAGCCATACCAATGTAGTCACTGTGGGAAAGCCTTCGTTTCCAAGTCACAGCTCCAGGTACATCAACGGATTCACACAAGGGGGAAACCTTATATATGCACAGAATATGGGAAGGTCCTCAACAATACTTCAAACCTCACTCCACCAAAGAAAGTTCCAATCAGAGAGAAGTCTTCCATCTGTACTGACTGTGGGAAGGCCTTTACCTACAGGTCTGAGTTAATTATTCATCAGAGAATTCACACTGGAGAAAAACCTTATGCATGTGGTGAGTGTGGAAAGGCCTTCACTCAGAAGTCAGCACTCACAGTGCATCAGAGGATCCACACAGGAGAAAAATCCTATGTGTGTATGAAGTGTGGGTTAGCCTTCATCCAGAAGGCACATTTGATTGCACATCAGGTAATTCATACTGGACAGAAACCTTATAACTGTGGCCAGTGTGGGAAATTCTTTACTTCCAGGTCACAGCTGCATGTGCATAAACGAATTCATACAGGAGAAAAACCCTATATATGTAATATATGTGGGAAGGCATTTACCAACAGGTCAAATCTCATCACTCATCAGAAAACACACACAGGAGAAAAGTCCTATATATGTTCTAAATGTGGAAAAGCCTTCACTCAGAGGTCAGATTTGATTACACATCAGAGAATTCATACCGGAGAGAAACCATATATATGCAATACCTGTGGGAAAGCCTTCACCCAGAAATCACACCTCAATATACACCAGAAAATTCATACTGGAGAGAGACAATATGAATGCCGTGAATGTGGGAAAGCCTTCAACCAGAAATCAATACTCATTGTGCATCAGAAAATCCACACAGGAGAGAAACCTTACGTATGCGCAGAATGTGGGAGAGCTTTCATCCGCAAGTCAAACTTCATTACCCATCAAAGAATCCATACTGGAGAGAAACCCTACGAATGCAGTAACTGTGGGAAATCCTTTACCTCCAAGTCTCAGCTCTTAGTACATCAGCCAGTTCACACAGGTGAGAAGCCCTATGTGTGTACTGAGTGTGGGAAGGCCTTTAGTGGCAGGTCAAACCTCAGTAAGCACCAAAAAATCCATACTGGAGAGAAGCCTTACATCTGTTCTGAGTGTGGGAAGACGTTCAAACAGAAGTCAGAGTTGATTACACATCACAGAATTCACACTGGCGAGAAACCTTATGAATGCACTGACTGCAGGAAATCTTTCACCAAGAAATCCCAGCTCCAAGTGCATCAGCGAATTCACACAGGGGAGAAACCTTATGTGTGTGCTGAGTGCGGGAAGGCCTTTACGGACAGGTCAAATTTAAATAAACATCAAACCAAACACACCAGAGATAAGCCATATAAGTGTGCAGTCTGCGGGAAAGGCTTTGTTCAGAAATCAGTGCTCAGAGTACATCAGAGTATTCACATTTAAAAGCAACTGTGAGAAAATGCTCACTGACGATATGTTTTATTTGGCTTTATTGCATGGATAGGACATAGTATGTGTATTATTGTAAGTAGAAATGCCCTCATACATATCACTGCTCAAAAGGACCTCTGAGAAGGCCCCCAATGGTGGGAGGAGTTGAGCTTCCTACACCATCATGTTATGAAATTGACAAATACATGATGAAAGGACACAGCCCATTTGACACATCTATAAGAAGCTTTCTCTGAAAAAAATGCAATAGAATGATGTTACCAAAGTATTAATAGGAAAGATGATAAGTCAGTGTAAATGGTTCAGTGCCAACAAACTGGTAAAAGCATAAAATTTCTATAGGAGTAGTAGACCAGTCCTTGGTGTGTAAGTTGGTTGTTGCAGAATAATTGTCTAACAGGGTCATGTGTTTTCTTTCTATAGTAGGATCTAAGACATTTGTGTATGTCAAATCCCCAACTGAATATTAAAATCAAGAAAGAAGCCGAACGCCAATGGCTCATGACTGTAATCCTAGCTGAGGCTGAGGTCTGAGGGTTTCGGTTCAAAGCCAGCCAGGGCAGGAAAGTCTGTGAGACTCTTCAATAAACCAGCAAAAATCTGGAAGAGGCACAGTGGCTTAAGTGGTAGAGTGCTTGCCTTGAGGGAGAGTGCCCAGGCCCAAGGTTCAAGCCCCACAAACTGACAGAAAAATAAAGATACAATAAAAGATACCTCCTAAAAGATACACAAACCTAAGAGTATATGTGGACTCCTCACTGAAATCTATCATCAGGCTTTGTAACCCGTTTCAGTAGCCATCAAGAGTCTTTGAATCTCACAAGCCATTGGCACATGGTCTTTTGAACTGCCATTTCCTTTAGGAAAGCTTGAAGTCATTTTTCTACCATTTTTATCCATTTAAATGACCCATCACAATTCTTCACACCTTTGCCTTTGCCACTGTGTGTGTGTGTGTCTGTGTGTGTGTCTGTGTGTGTGTGTGT